AAACAGGTTTCCAAAAATAGAGAGCAAACCGCTTCCTTTTTTTCTGACAAGTTTTATAGAGCACTTAATATGATTCTGAGTATTTAAAACTTAATAATGTTGACTTTTTTTATTAACATTGCTGTGTCAAAGTTTTAAAATTTGTCAAGTTTAACTTTGTCTTTAAAGGTTGAGGTCAATAAAAAACTATTATGAGGTTTATAGATCTTCTAATCAAACTTGTTACACTGATTTTACAAATTATAGGTAGAGCTATCGAAAAAAGGAAATTGCCATTTTGTCTTCTGTAATCAGAAAGGCAGGATTATGTTGAAGTAATTTTCATAGTTCCTATCATTTATACAAATACAAACTACAAAACACATTTTCAGATATTGAAGATTTTTCTGCATTAAGAATGTGGACCATAATCTAAAATTGAATGCATCATAAAAGAAAAATACTACCACATCACCACATATTAGCTTTGATTCTACCTGCCATCAGAAAATATTTTAGGAAGCCTCTTCCAGTTCTACAATTTAATTAAGGGCTTCCAACTACAGGAGTAAATATGAACTATAGCTTTGTTTTTCTTTATTTGAATTCCAAGAGTGCATTTTTAAAAGAGTGGCATGCTGTAAAAGAAAGTAAATGATTAGCGAGGTCTAAATTTATTTGCAACTGGCTTGAGTATCCTGACAGTAAGATATTATTCTATTACAATGCTTTGAAGAATGAATCTAGCAAGTGTAGAGGGAGCTAGGAAACCTCCATAATTCTGTCACTCTAAGGGGAGATGTATGAAATTTTATTGTATACAAAGTTTAAAAACCCAGACTTTAAATGTTTTGATGTAGCTCACTTTATAAGGGTGGGGTGCAATTGGAGTTTTATCACTCAGGGGCCTCACTTGCACATCTACTTGGAAAACATACCCCCTTCTTAAAGCTTAAGACATTAGCAAAAATTTAACTAGAAATCTGGGGTTTCCAGATGTCTTTGCTGATTTGCTTGTAACAGCCAAGGCTAAAGTCATATTATATATCTATCATCATTTGTTTGCTAGCAAAATGGAATAGGAAGCAGATAAAGTTTGGCCTCTACCATCCCTGGCTCTCTGAAGTTATCAGTTCCCCTTAATCAGCCAGGCAGCCTGCAATAATTTGTTATTCCAGTAGGGAATCTATAAATATTTCAGATTCAGATACATTTTTCATCTCATTCATTTAGCATGAAATCCCTAAAACATCATTAAGTGATGCAGAAAATTGGGAAGGAGTAATGTCAATAATCCATCTAAACTGCTTCAAAGCCACTGAATGGCATTGGTCTGTTTTATCTTCATGACTTACTCCTGTGAGATAATGTTTACCAGATCAAATTTAATGTTGGTTATTTTTCTCACGAGGAAACTTAAATGGTAAAACAAAAAGGAACACAATGATGTGGATTTCTCTTTCTCTTCATCTAGCATCTAACACCTTTGAAAAGGAAAGTGATTGCTGACTTATATGTTCACGTCAAATGTGGGCTCGGATTTCTTTTCGACCAAAAATTCATTTTAATTTGAATAGCAACTTCAAATAGTCAATAACAAACTTCTGAATTTGATCAATAACAAACTTCTGAATTATGACGTCCAGACTTCACAATTAAAAATACAGGAGGCCCAATTAGGTTAGAATTATTTCTAGTTGCTTATTCATGTATACCTTGAGATGTATATGCACGTTGTGATGGCAATCCCTCATATAATTTTTCTTTATCTATTACTCGCAGAAATAATTCAAATGTTACTGGGCCTCCTTATATTTTTAATTGCAATATCTGGCAATTCTTCCCAATACGGGAGTCCTTTTGGACATGCAGTTTAAGAGAGTACATAGTTTTGGGTCTGTGGCTTACATTTGCCCCAGATTTAAGCCTCATAACCACTGCCCAGTAGTGGTTGAAACCTACAGGATGATTTCTCTTTCTCATTCCTTATACCAATTCCCTCTTTAATTCTCTAGTAGTATGTCTCTTCAAAAAGTACTGTCCCGTACCAGTATTCCCTTGACTGGGAATGAATTTTAATGTGAAAATCCTTGTAGAAATAGCATCTTAAAATTGGCTTTGTGAGATGATTCTAAAGGGGACAATGCTAATCTCCTGCATGAACTCCAAAGTTAGAAGCTCTGTATCTCAGGGTATAAAATACAACAATTATGTTTCTCCCAAACAATTTCAGCAACTTCCTTTTTTTAACCTTCCTTTATATCCCTGGGGATTTTCTCATCCTCTCTCATCTCCTGGGGTGTATATTTCTGCTTTGCCTACTCGGACAATTAACCCTGCTGGTGTATTGGTCCTGCAGTGGGCTGTCCTTCAGTTTGTTCCCATGGCTCATTGCAAGTGCCCTGCACTCGCTGAGGGCTTAGTAGCATTTCTTGACTGTTTGAATACATATAATGTTTTTGGCATATTGTTGAAATTTAAGACAAAATTTGGAGCATGAGATTGAGCAAATGAAATTGCAAAGTTGGGAGGAGGGAATTATCATTAACTATACCCATTTTATAGAGCATGGCCTGGGGTCTGTTTTCTGCCTCAACAAGTCGCTCCTCTCACCTTCCTTCTGTGAGCCTTCTCCCTCCCCTTTTTTTCTTGAGATAGAGCCTTGCTCTGTTGCCCAGGCTGGAGTGTAGTGGTGTGATCTTGGCTCACTGCAACCTCCACCTCCTGGGTTCAAGCGATTCTCCTGCTGCCGCAGTCTCCTGAGTAGCTGGGACTACAGGTGTGTGCCACCACTCCCAGCTAATTTTTTGTAGTTTTAGTAGAGATGGGGTTTCACTGTGTTAGCCAGGATGGTCTTGATTTCCTGACCTCATGATCTGCCCGCCTCGGCCTCCCAAAGGACTGGGATTACAGGCGTAAGCCACCACGCCCAACCCTGTGTGCTTTGTAAATTACTTGTTGGGTATGTTAGGGACTGATAGAGCAAGGCTTTAGTTAAAACAAGTGTCTGAAAGTCAAATACCTACCAGGGATAGTCATGTTATTTAAATGAAGGAAAATGAGGAGTCTAAGAGACAATAGGAAGTTGTGAGTAGCCTGGAAAGAGCATCCTGGGAAGCTTGCTATGTTCTGAATGCTTGTGCCCTTCCAAAATTCTTATGTGGAAACCTAATCCCTGTTAGGGAGGCAATAAGAGGTGGAGCCTTTGGGAGATAATTTGGTCATGAGAGTGGTGGCCTCATAAACGGGATTAGTGCCCTTATTTTACAAAAAGCCTGAGGGAGCTTGTTCACCCTTTCCAACCACCATGGGAGAACACAGCTGGAAGGCATCAACCGTGAAGCAGAGAATGAGCCCGCAGCAGACTCCCAGTCTGCTGGCACCTTGATCTTGGACTTCCTGGCCTCCAAAACAACAATTTCTGTTGTTTATAAGTTACCCCAAATCTAAGGTAATTTTTAATAGCAGCAGATATTGACTCAAAGTTTAAACATAAGACATTCTATGTGTTTCTGGTTAGGTAAAAGGCATTAATAGCAGAGGAAGGTATTGCCGGGCAATTCAAAAAGAAGTCAAGAGGTGAAAATACCTTTCTAAATCTACCATTGGCCAGAGGAGAGATAATGCTAAGTCTTTGATGCAAGCATTTGGTGTACTCCATATATATATATACACACACATATATATATACACACACACACACTCTTGTGAAAACTGCCACATTAGATTATAACAGCCTATGATAAGAAACAATCACTTAATTCACACCACTATTCTAATTTCAAATGCAGCAAACTATTTTTAGATTGAAATTTTGACTTCCTTTCTGGGTTTTTTAACAGGCGATCAAACAAATGGAAATTTATCAGTTCAGTAATCAAGTTTCTTATGAAAACCTGCTAAAATGGTTAAATAATTTTGTTATTTCATAAAATAGAATACTGTATAGCAGCCAAGATAAATGAGTGAGAGCTATTTGTAAACACATGGATACATCTTCAAAACTCAGTTAAAAATGAAAGCAAGTTGTAGCAGGATACAATATCATTTCTATAAATTTGTAAAACTGTAAAACAGTATAATGTTTAGGGATACCTATACATATGTAGTAAACATCAAATTAGAGCACTTATATCAGAGTGAGGAACAGTGTTAAGAAGCATGTGAGAAAACACAGACATAAAAGAGATTTAAATTCCATGCTGTATATTTCATATCTTAACCTTGCTGATGGGTATACAAGTGTTCATTTTCACATTTTGAGTATCTGAAGGTCTTTTTAGTAAACCAAACCAAATAACAGCAATAATTTTTTAAAAACTTGTAAAATGGCCTAATAAATACATTAGTCCCCTGAAAATGTGGCCAGTATTAATCCATCCTTTTAAAGTTTGTTTCAGCAAAACTAACGATAAGATCCTGGAATGCAGCCCCAACATCAACCTTGTCCTTCTGTGGAGTTCTAGGTATTACCTTCATCTGGTCATCCTTAAAGCCAGCGGATACTTGGGCATGCTCCACTAGGATGAGCAGAAATAAATGTCTAATCTAGACAACACAAAGAAAATTTAGCCCTAAGATGCTACAGGATTTTGAAGAATTAACGTTCTCTGCAGGCAAAAATCCAAGTAACTTTAATATATGAAACTGAGTGGGTTTCAATTCAACCAAACTTGGATATCACCTCTCTCAAATAAAATCAGATTCCTGCAAACATTTTAAATATATTGTAACATTTAAAAATCTTGGTATTTAATAGCTTTGTATCATTTATAAAATGCTCTATGCTGGGCTTTTCTGACTCCTTTTTTATACAGTTGTCAACTCTTATTGGCATCATCTCCTGGTAGAATGTGCTAGAGTTTTTTTTTATTTTTATTTTTTTTTTATTTTTTTTTATTTTTTATTTTTTTAGCAAGCTTCCTGGCACCTGTAGTTGATAGAAAATTTGCCTCAGACACTCTTGAATTAACCACTTCATTAATATAACTAATTCAATATTACCTAATTTATATACTTACCATTTAGGGTGCTTCTATCAATCAAATTAGTATCAACTGGCCAATAACCTCCATCTCCATGACGACCTGTTCATTGGGAGAGCATGTCACAATGTTAGTACATACCATGAAGGCACAAATGAAACAAAATGAACAGACAAAAAGTATAAACATTTTAACATACACAACAACAGAACAGATTACTTTGACCTCCCCCAGGAAAGCCTGCCAATTCTCATACCCTTACACCTGTAAGAAAATGTTATTTTCCATGTGTGACAAAAACAAGTCAGAAAAGTAAACGCTCTTAAGCTAAATTCAATATTTCACTGATAAGTCATCCTCCATTCTTTTTATTTCTCCCAATATTCTTATTGGAGTCTTTTAGTAAAGGTGCAGCAGCAGTGTCAATCTAAATACTATTCTTCTGAACTTTTTAGAACAGAAACAACTCAGGTCCTGGCTCCTAGGTCCTGCAGATACTGTCACACATCTGACAAGACTTTATGGCAAATTATTATTATCCTACAAGGGGCCAGCATATTTCATCTTATAACTGGACTTTGGGCATTCTTTTTGATATGTGTCAAATACGGTACCTGGAAATGAAATTCCACACTGGAAGTAAGAGTGGGGGTTATGTCACAAACCATATGGTCTGACTATTTCCTACAAATACACCGTGAAGGGAAGAAAGCTCCTTCAGTATAGCGTGATTGGAAATTCTGCCTTCCATTAGGTGTATAACAGATGTGAAAGTAGTATTTAAGAGAAATGAGCCAGGAATTCACCAGAAATAATTACACTATCATCCAAAATTTAATTAATGGTGTTTCACCACAGATAATCTTTTTCTCTACTGATACATTCATAGAACTGAAATTATTTGATTAGATTTTGAGTTCTAGAATATCTAGGTAGACTACTTATGTAAAACATTTGAGAGGTGAATCCGTATGCAAACAAAGACCAGAGTATAGGTAATTTTCTATTTTATTTGCGTAAAACGGTTATTTCTGAAACGAGTTCCAATCAGTGAATGACAGAGAAAGCCAACCAGGACACTCAGCTACAATAACATAGGTTGTTTTCTCACATTTATAGATTTCAGTTTTCTTCATCTCTGTAACTTTCAAGTCCTGATTTTGTGACTGTATTTTGCATAACAAACACTACCCTTACTAAAGCTTTCCCAAGATTTTATCATTTCATTTACAAAACAGCTTTCAAGAAACAACTTAGAATCCTGTTAACTGACTCTACATTCACAATTTTAAAAATTCTTTTGGTATCAAGTCAGAGCTGAAGTTAGGATGTCAAATTTCTAGCAAGCAATAAGATAAATTAATTCAGTCACATTATATTATATCTTCGGCATAAAATGGCATGTTTAATATCTGTTGGGTCAATGACTGTGAGTATGTAAGGAAGTAGGAGATAGGATGGAGGCTCCTATGTGTGTGTGCAGGGGGAAGGTGGTGGTGAGAAGAATAATCAAAATGAGCTGAAATTGTGAAAATTTTAGTGGGCTGACAAAAATGTGGACAAGTCTAACCCTTTTACAAATACCTTGTTTATATAACTCTGATGCATATGGGGTTTCCATGAGCAGTGGATAAGCTTTGCCCACGAGACACCGTGAGATCAAAGTTGGCTGATGTGAGGTGGAAGCTCTACATAAATATTAAGATGACTTTTCTAGCAACTGAAAGCAGCTAGATTGCAAAGCAGTCAGCCAAAAGAGATGCTAACAACCCTATCACTTAGGCCAGTAAAGCAATACATGTTTCCTGTTGGGAATAATCCTGTATTGGCTGGAAATTAGCTAGGTAGCCTACGGAGGATTTTCCTTTTCCTCCAGCAGCCTGGCAAATGTCTTTTTAATGAAGTTTCCAACTCTCCCTGTTATTTGTGGCAGGATGCAAAGAGAAGCCAATAAGCATGTCCATATATTACATACACATATCGCTCTATGGGTACAGCACCCCTTAGATTTAGCGAGGCTATTGATTACATTGTGAATTTCAATAGGTAGAAGAATGAGCAAGTTTAGATTTATAATAATTTAGATTTCTTGCACCACTTCAGACTACAAACCACAAAACCCATTTCTGGGATATTGATGAGCCTGAGATCTCTTAATCTAAAGACAGAGACATCAAATTTTAATTTTAATTTTAATTTTAATTTTGAGTGATGCTAAGTTTCCATTCCCTGAAATATGTCTTTTAATTTTCAGGAAGTCTCTCTTGATGCAGCCAATTAATAATAATAATAATAATAATAATAATAATAATAATAAAAGATTATCCCATTGCTTTAAGGAGAGCATCACAAAGTTGTCAAACGAAGAGACACTAGAGGCTAAAAAAGGAAAGGATATGGATGTATGGGTGTTACTTCTTGGCATATCACAGCATTTTTAAGAGCTTGTTGCTGTAGAACAAATATTGGATATGTTTAGTTACCTTGGTTAATTTCATAAGCACTGATTTAGAGAAAGAGAGGACTAATCAGAATTTAGAAAACAGCTAGAGTGAAAGTCAGCTAATGCAAAGATATAAACTACTTCCCTATCTCAGAGGTCTTCATTTTATTAACGAAGCATAAAACTGGTAATAATTCTTTCTAAAATTCATTAAATGCCTACTATATGCAAGGCATAGTCCTAGATCCTCAGGGAAGGAGTAATATAAAGAGATATATTAGATATGGATCCTGCCATGACAGGGAGAGTTGGTTCATTGTAATCAGATCGTATACAGGCCTATTTATGGTTAATATTAACCAGCTGCAGATGGTTCTTAATATATTCTGACATTAAAGATTTAAGAGTAACTTAATTCATTTATTACTATAAACTTACTACTAGGCTTAATTAAAAATGCTTTTTAATTATTAAAATATTATTAAAATAATTTTGAAAAGAACTGCAAATAAAAATAATATTTTATTTTCAGTCATATAACATTATATATTTCATAGTTATATTTATTTTAAAATCCTGAATTACATTTTTGCATATCATACTAAATTTTTAACGGTTTTACAAATTAAAATTCTAAATAATTAAATGGATTTATGGAAATTCAAATATACATTTGGGGGAAATCACATAATACATTTCAGTTTTCTTCCCTCAAATAAAGTTCAATATGGCTTAAAGCATTTTGGAAATGAGTAGTTTATTTTTTCCTTTTTATATGAATAATACAATTTTATACTAATAGTGATCAAAGTGTACTATATGAAGGCCAGGTGCGGTAGCTCATGCCTGTAATCCCAGAACTTTGGGAGGCCGAGGAGGGTGGATCACTTGAGGTCGGGAAATCAAGACCAGCCTGGGTGACATGGCAAAACCTCGTCTCTACTAAAAATACAAAAATTAGCCAAGCGTGGTGGTGCGTGCCTGTAGTCCCAGCTACTCCAGAGGCAGAGGCAAAATTGCTTGAACTCGGGAGGCAGAGGTTGCAGTGAGCCGAGATCGCACCACTGAACTCCAGCCTGGGCGACAAAGCAAGACTCTGGCTCAATATAAAACAAAACAAAACAAAGCAAAAAAACAAACAATAACAACAAAACAAAGTGCACTATATGAATATAATTCTACAGGATATAAAGAAGAATTCTGTATTGGATTACTGTGTATCCATGTTTTCTCAATAACACAAATTGAGGATGAGGGAAGAATGAGATATTAAAGAGTAATGAATTTATTTTCACTTAACAACCAGCTAATTTCATTTAAAAAAAACAAAAACAAAAAGAAAAAAAAGTTCTGCCAGAAAGTTTTGATAATGAAAGCAAATGATTTTCTACCTTTACCATAGATTTTGGAACCAGGAAATGGTAGCTTCAGAAACAAAAATTAAATAAATATTAAATAGGCATTGGCTGAGTTAAAATAGAGGCAGTTTGTGGCTGTTTTGAGTTATTCAAAATAGCTTTTATATGTTTAATTTTTTTTTTAAATACTGCTTAGGCAGGTCCTAACCAGAAATTTCATGTACCTCTCCTTTCTTTGAATTTTTAAAATGTTATAGACTATAAAATCGTTTAAGGGGCTGCCTTTTACATTTTATCTAAAAGATTGGCCTTATAAGGAATCTTTTTATCCCTTTTTGGCACATGCCATATGATTCTTCAGACAAAAGTCTTCTTGATCTCTCTGCTGCCTCTTCTCTAAATTGAAGAAAAAATTGGCAGAAGTAATATGACTTCCTTTAGGAAGTCTGTTCATTGTTATATTCCTTTGCGCTAACTGAAGAGATGTGCAAATTGTGTTCTCAATGTCCTATGAATAAGTAAAGCTAGTTAGGATGCTTTGTAGTATTATTTTAATACTAAGCACAAATCTTAAGTTATTACTAGTATGCAATTTATTATTTATGTTCTCATCCTTACATGTCACCTAAATTATTTGTGTATTTTTATTGTGGTATATCTCTAAAATGAAATAACATTAATGTTTATATTAAATCCTTATTTGCAGCATACATGGGCAGATTGAGAATCTTTTCCATAATAAAAAATTTTCAGCACTGAACAAAGATTAATTCAATTGGGATTTCAGTCCTAGAGTCTAGTTTTTCTGCGTGATTGTTTATAAGTTCAGAGAAGAGAGAGTGGAAAATTAATCTGCAGAAGACATGGAGAAAAGTGGATGTGATAGTTCTAATCATTTGTTTACTCCATCTTCCCTAAATGGGCATAAGAGAGGATCATCCAGGATGACATTCATACAATCAATCCCTAGAGAAAAGCGTATGGCCCATAATCTAAATCAAATGGACAGATTGGTCATCTAACAAATGTTCAATGTATATCCTTCCAAGGATGCAGAGCACTGAGATATCTTCTTGATCTTAAAATTTGTTATCTGAAAATTCTAATGATAATGATAGAAATTGCATTGATTTTCTGTCTTGTGTACCAGCAGATAAAGAATATCCAGTAATATTACTTGAATACAGTTTTACTGTTCATCCAACACACAGATCATATTGAGATATATTTAAAGTAGGTAATTTGTCAGAGACTGAAATGTGTTTCTAAAAGATCGGTTTACCAGGCAGTTGATAACAATG